AGCAGGTATAGGTTTCTGTAGTCTTGTTTTCCTTAATGTATAAAGGAAAATAAAGAAACAGAGAGGTACAGTTTTCCTTGGGTTTTATTGTTTGTTTTCTGGACTTCAGCTTTTGATTTGTCTCAATGAACTGGAATGAAAATGTTATCAAAAGGGACAGTCTATGTCAATGTAAATATTAGATATTGTCAAGTGTCTATACTACGCCACCACAGGCAAGCTTCAAACCAGACAAGAATGTTGTTCTCATAATAGACTTTGCACAAGTGTAAATCCAGCTCTCAGTTTTACGGTACTGAATGTCTCAGAAGACAAACAAACAAACAGAAAATGTCAAAATGACCTTACGCTGTACCTCTCAAGGTGTAAAAGAAAACACATGAAAAACAATGGGAGATACATTGGCAATGAAAACTGAAATAATGTAGACAGACATACTGAGTTTGTATGCAGAAAATATCATCAGTTCATCCAAAATTTTAGCTGCTTTTGAAACGTTTGTACTTTTTCAAAGGTCTTTTTAAGTCTTATGTTCAAATCTTGTTTGACGACTTCTCTCTAGTTCTAATTTTAGACATTCCCTTGTTCCTGAGAGGCCTTTATCTGGTTTGTCGCCTGTTGGGTGCTGACTTGGGGGATGCACTCAGCGCTTACACAGCTGCATTTCTCCACATAGGTGTATGAGTGATCAAAGTAAGTGCCATTACTGCACATCAGAGTCACTTTTCTTTGACTCGTCTTGATTTCCTGACAACACGAGCATTTATGTTCCATCATGTTCGCCTCTGAAGAATACCTGATTACAAAACCAACAAATGAGAAAGATTCAGAAATAATGTAAGAAATAACACTGCTTCTTGCACCCATTACTAAATATAACCAGAAGTTGTGTGCTTGCATGTGGGACTATTGCTCGGTATTACCATTCTTACAGTATTATGGTGAAATAGAAGTAAGTTGCTCCTCATTGTAAAAATGGATGGATGTAGCTCTTTGTTACAGGACAGAAAAAGTGAATTGATTAATCCAGATCACATATTAAGCCAGTCCAAAATGAGAGAATAGTAAGAAACACATAACCTCACTTTTACATGGGCAAAATCAAAACTCGTGTCTCTTCACTGTGACACTGAACAGGCTGTTAAAACATTGTCAGTCTTGAGGTAATTAAGCTACTACATCATGTCTGTTAAAAAGTCTAGTTAGCACAATGGAAACAGCTGATGACTGGGTAGATGTTGGACAAATTAGAAAGTCACTTGTGATGTGCTTTACGTAACTAGTGTAAAGAGAAGACAAGACACCACAATTATCTTTGAAACCACTTACCGTGAGTAAGCATCACAGCTGCCTTCACAGTATGTCACCTCAACAGGTGCAGGAGATACACATCCATGATATGTGATGACGGTAGTAGTATTGTGCTTCATACAGCCTGAGGTTGTCACAAACCAAGAGAAAATAGATTAGAATATATGTGCCTATAAATTGATAACCGAGATGGATGGAGGTGAAATAGGAAATTAGGTCACAGTGCATTTCTCTTTTATTGCTAAGGGCCAAATGGTAATTCTTGCTGCTTGTGTTACCAATGAATGAAAAATACCCTTTTGCTTATGCAACTTTGGTGCAGGATGCAGAAATGAAGAGCAGTACTGTGGTAGCTGCTCAGTGCACACCCACCCCCCAGGTCTGGCTTCTCTTTCTTCCTTAAAGAGCATGTATCTGCGGAAGTTGGAGAATAGTCATCGTCCTCTCCCTCCCACAAAAAGGCTAATATTTAGCAGTAGGGGATGGGAAGGTTCACCATATCCTTGTTTTCCAAGGCGCTAAAGCGTATGCTGGAAATGTTCTATTCCTTTCTTTTTCCACCTGTTCCCTTTCTCACCCCAGTGTGAGACGGTGGTCCCAAACTTTGCCTGTTCACCACTTCTGTCTATGCATCTACCATGCAAGATGGACTAATATACCTTATAAGGCACATTTTATAATTACTTACTCTTAGCAAAATTATCATTACTTACTCTTCTGTTTTGGTTGGCACTGTTTACAGCAGCCATCATCAGATAGCGTGATGTCATCCTTGAGTGGGAAAACAGAAAAAGATAACTCAGGTTTCATATCTGCATACTAAAGCACAGACTTTCCCCTGCTTCCTAAGTTTCTCTGGCATGAGGAAGTTCTTTGTATTGACATGAAATCTGATTTCAAGCAAGGCTAAATATTAAGGGCACATGACTACTTCAGTGTTAATAAGACTTCTTTGAAAGATGACATTGAGGGGGACTGGAACTGCTTTGCTGGCATCAGAGTTCAGTAGTAAAATTTCAGAAATAAAGCTTGTGTGGGATATTTTGAGTGACAAAATTCAGTACAGGTGAAGCATTATGTCAGACAGGGTAATGCAATTAAAAAAATAACTTAACTCCCCAGATGTGTGGGGCTGGTTCTAATCTACCCTGAGCTGTATTGAGTTGAATGATGTTGTGAACTGAAGTAGCGTATTTTCCTTCATCTTTGCTCTGAGTAAGTGAATTCTAAAAAAGAATTTATGATTTTAAATAATTTAGGAATAAAAATTCCATTATTTTTCAGTAAGATTGATTTTTGATTTGCTTTTCTGAAATGCAATTTGATGGGAGCCAGATTCAGAAAGGATAAAGTGAAAGTTACATCCTGTGTGATGCTTCTCCTAGGTATTTTCCTTGGACACCATGATCCTTCTATCACTGGTGTTAGCCACTGAAACATTTTCAGACATGAGAACTGGTAGAATAGTACTTACTGGATCACATTCATCAGGGTTAAAGGGACGACAGCTTGTCCGTGTGGTGACATGAACGAAATGGTCATTGTGTTTTTCACATGTGTAAGTTGTACAGTTATCACCAGGTACATTCCACTTTTCTCCAACCTGAAAGTAGTTAAAATTAAAGTGAGTAAAAAGCTTTTTACATATCAATGAAATGAAAACCCACCCAGGGCCCTGTCATTGCTGCCTACTGCAATTTGATTATTCTGAAAAATTTGCTTGAATTTCAGCTGATAGTTACTTGTCTTATCATACTGCTGCTACTCTGTGAAGAGGTTGTATTTTTATGTGTGAATACGATGAGTAAGTGGACTCACTTGGAAAGATAAATTTGTGTTTCAGTAGTTTTGTTGTCAGAATTTATGGGTATGTTCATTCAGATACTTGGTAGAATTTCTGCTAGCTTCACTGACTCATCCTGTCCTAAAGCTCTCAGCTAACTTGGGACTGGCTGTTTGGAGCAGAAAATTGCTGCCACAGATAAAATTATCCTTTGAGCAAAATGGGTGCTATGTTTTCAGAGCTGAAGGCAAATAAGAGCCTGTTGCTTTCACGTATGTATTTTTCTGTGTTGATATCTGAAAGCCATTGTTCAGTATTACAGTTACTTCCAGAGGCCTTAGTTAGAACTGGAGTTCCATGGCTGAAGGTATTGTTCCAGCTGTGTGAGACAGTCCATTCCCTGCCTGAATGAGCATTTGTTCAACATTAGAAAAGGTGCAGCAAATAAATGTGACAAAGACAAGCAGACGAAAGAGTGAAAAAAGTAGCAGAGTTCACCACAAATGAGCTAAAACAGGGGTAGTTACTTGGAGCACGTGTGTAATGCCTCCCACAGTCACTATACAAGCAGCTGGCTTGCACGTGCCGCAGCACTGTCCAGGTATCTTCGTATACTTATGACCCTGTTTTGAAAGAAATAGAGAGGAAATGACACTAAGATGGGACACTGACCTTAACTGGTCGATATCTGAGCTCAGTGGGGTGGGGATTACTGACAGGAAAATAGCACTCACGGCTGGGCAGTATGTGTCACAGATAACAGGTTTGCACTTGATAGTAGCGTGGTGAGGGCTTGAGTAAGAGGATTCAGAGCAGGTGCATTTTTCACAAGGGCCTGATGGAATGACAGCTCCAGGCTAGGGGAAGTCAGAAAAAAGTCATTATTAGTCAGAAAAAGCAAATTAATTTGTGTATATACGTCACAGACAATACAAAGCTGAACTATATATGGGCTAAATTATCTTTAAATACAGTTTTGGTAGTTTTATTTAAGCCAAGTTTCTGCTGTTGGTAATATCCATTTTGGAATTAAATTCTGTTGAAGGAGAAAGGAGAGCAGAAAATGGTTTTGCTTGTAAAGGACAGTGTTGATATGCTGACCTCAAATAATTAATAATGTTTTATCTCAGGCCTTTCTGCAGAATGGTCCATGATAGGAGTCTCAAAAACATTTAATTGTGAGCTTATGTGAAGGTGTATTTTTATAGTGAGTTACTCTGTGTACTTACTGCATAGTAGGTTTCATTGACTACACAGCCAGGTCCTGTAAAGAAGGAAGAAAAATGGTGTCATAGAGGTTTAAGTTTTAAGAAGCAGAAGTATGTGAAAAAACTGCTGGTTTGTTAGCCCAATATGATAACACATATAATTTGCATCTTAAAATAAAATTTAAGGGTCTTGTATTAATAAACTTATAAGAATATAGCTGCAAATACCACATAAAGAAGGTACATAGTACTTACTGCATTTAAAGGTAGGACAGCATTTTCCAGGCTGCATTATTGTGATTACTTCCTGTCCCTCTAAGCACTGGGGTCTGACCTCAGGGCAGAGGCTAGTGTTGCAGTCTGTTTGATGTAAGACAATATAGAAAATGAACTCAGGATTTTTAAATTAAAGTAATTTTGTTTTGCATGAACTTGAGAAGCTTTCCCATCGGGCAAATACAGTGGTGTTTACACAAGCTAGTTTAATGACTAATCCAGTATATTTGCCCAGCTGTTTTTAAAGTGAGTGGGCTTTTCTATAACCTTTGTAAATCAAAGCATTGCCTGAGAAGAATAGGGTGGTGATTGCTGGAGAGACATACTTCCAAAGAGAAATCTATACCAACTGGAAAAGCTGATGACTCTCAGAGGTTCAGGAACTTTCTTGAGCAATTTTTAGGTGTTGAAGACTTTTTTTTTTTTTTTTTTTAAGATAAGTTTTTTATACTGGTCTTTGGAGAAGAAAATGCTTTGAATAGTTTTTGAATATTGTTTCAGGCGGTGGCAGCATTAAAAGTTTTCAATGTTAAATTATAGATTTCCAGTTACTTTTCTGTGTCTAACTGTGCAAAGTGTTTTCATCTTTAAATTTGTTCTGTTCAAGCATCTAGTCAATGCTCTGCAAGAAGGTCCTACAAAGTGGGATGAGGGAGAAAAGCATTATGAAATCAATGCAAAGTACTAAAATAAATGACAAATTACTGCTGTAGTTCCTCAAAATTAATACAGTATATTCCCCCTGATAAAGAACTAAGACAGGACTTACAGCACTCAGTCCTGGTACAGCATGGATCTTCTGGTAATGGTATCTGAACAGGTTTGTAACCTGGTTCATGACAAAATGCTTGCGATGTCAGAGAACATTTGTGCTTTGTGCAGTGCACTTGAAGATTATTTTTGTCACAGACACATTCCTGGCAATCTTTTGTCCATTTTTCTCCTGGCTATATAAAAAAGAAGAAAAATAAAAGGAAGAAAGAAATTATATATAAATTAAAACCAAAATCACTTTATTTGTTTCTAGTTGACTTATTCATGGATACAGTGATACCTGATTACATCAGCCTTTTCATGTTTCTAGTATTTTTAGGTTTTATAAGAAACCCTCAAACTGAAGCTAATCAGGGGAAGATACTGGAGGCCACTGAAGGTTCTAGTGTGTTCACATAGCTGTCACTTTTTATTTATTAGTAGTTTCAGTATGAGGGATACAGAAGGTCTGAAGGAGAAGTCATTGAGCTTTACATGCGTTTTTGAATAAGAAACTATTATATGACATACTCATTTGCACATTAGGTTACAGAGAGAAATTTCTATAATTTGTGTGCAGCTGAGGAACTAAGAGTGCAGACTACCAACATTATCAGCAACAGGTAACCTTTGTTATCCATCTATCCCTTCATCTCTAGTAACTTTTAACTAGTGGAAATAAAAGAAGCACACATGCCAAAGTTCCACTACTATCATCTATCTCTTTTTTTTTCTCTTTCTCTTTTTTTTCTTTTTTTTCTTCAGTATGTGAGGTGATGGCTATTGAAAGAATATTCCCATCACTTACTGTTAAATTTCTTAGGGAGTAATGTGATTTCTGCTCTGGCAGTCATAATTTAGACTAAAGGGGAACGAACATTTGAAAAAACCCTAAAGTCTCCCCTAACCGAAGCAAAACTTTGTTTTTGTGAAACACTAAATGTCCTCTTGCTTCACTTGTCTGTGTTTGATATATCACATGGATTGTGATACTCACCTGTCTGGTTACTCCATTTGGTTCCCTACAAGCTGGAAGAAACAAAAACAAACAAATGGAGATTTACACCACTGAAAACTGATGTAAAGGAGTAAATTTGTGCAGTTTCAAACAGAAATACAGTGAAGATAAAACTAAGAAGAAAATGAATATGCAGACTAGTTCTTCTGAAATTTAGATTTCTACCATCTTGGTAGATGCAAGGAAGGAAGATGGAAAATATGTAGTATCAGTTATAATTTGATTTTTAGATGGGGACACTAAAGGAGCTTAAAGAGGCTGATTTGCATGTGATCTGACCATGTAGAAGATGGCAGCAGAACACAGGCCTCCTGATTATCAATCCTGATTTCTATTTATTCCCCAAACTAGCTACAGATTACTTACAGCATTCAGAGACGCAGGTGGTGCTGTCTTCACGCACAAGTCTCTGTCCTTCAGGACAGAAACATCCTTCAGTTACTCCATAGCCAGGAAGCTCAACCAATCTAGAGTGGGAGGAATGTATGTATTTGAGCACAGTGTTTTTGCAGTGAAGCAGGAGAGATAGCAGCATATGTAGAAAGTCACCATGTCAGATACAAGGGAGACAAAAGAATTTCCATTTTTCTGAAGGGCAACTTCCTGATAGAGCTGATTGATATTTATACATCTTGAATAAATTATCCAAATTCACAAATAATTTCATCATGAAGTAACTCCATTTTTTAAGGAAAGTAGATAGGTAAAAATAGAAAAAAAAAGAAAAATATAAGCAGTTGTTTGGGTAAGGTTTTTTTGTCTTTCCATACCTTGGGTCACAAGTAGCAGGATTAATGGGCCCACATGGCTTGTATACCATGTTTGATGGACAGTTGTATGCTGTATGGGAAGGAAGAAAAAAGATCAAAAATTGACAGTAGATGCATTTTTGCAGCAAAAGTGACTACAGCTTTGCCTTCTTCATCTGTAGCTTCTGCAAGTAAGGACATCACTTTTTTTTTGTTGACAGTAGTCAAGTGTTAGATATAAGATGTGTTTACTGACTAAACCATTAACTACTACCATTTCTTGCACACATTTTTGAATTCTGCAATACTTACGGCATGTATTGTTGGTCTTTCCTCTCCAGTCAATGCAGACACCTCTAGCAGCACACTCTGTAGCATATATCTCCAAACTGGAACACTGCATGGATTCATCGGCTATGCGACATCCATCAAAAACACAGCCTTTGAAAAATGGTTCTGGTGGTATCACGGCATGGCATTCTTCAAAAACGCTGCAGACAGAAGGAAACCAAACCCCTTTTATGTTAACCAGTCATTATCTAAAATCCAGCGCTTCCCAGTTAACGGCATGTGACTCCCTGCTTCAGGAAAAGAATATCTTAAAAGAAGCAAACCCCTAAGAATAGCCAATAACCTGGGACATAGGTTCAGGAAAGGAAAGGTTAGGAAATTTGAAGCTGCGTTGTTTTTTTTCCCTAAAGAGGCAAATGGTGATAGTGTTTCTGTATGTGTATGCAACTTTTCATCAGTCTGACACCATAAATTTAATGAAAAAGGCGGTTGCATCAGATTGAGGAAAAAGGGATGATAAAAATAGGATAATAAATAATAGCATGGTAGAAAAAACTGCATGTACAATAGACGCTACAGCAAGCATGTGTAAGAGGGCCTTTATTAATGACCCAGCTGAAAAAAAGCTTTTGTCAGAGTACTCTCAAGTATAGGAAATAGTGCAGGAAACAATTCTTTTGGAGATCCATGTTTTACATAAAATGTACAAAGAATGAAGGACACTTCTTGGTGAGATGTTTCTGTCCGCTCTGTTAACCTGGTTGGTAACCCAGTTCTTTATGGTTTGTGCTGAAGGACCACTTCAAATTCAGAATTCAGTGTTTACTTAATAGTATAGCTAAGAGTGAGTGAGCATACCCTGGAAGGTAGAGAGGGAGAAAGATAACATATATCTGTGTGATTGCAACCCAGGGAGTATGGATTTTAGTGCTTGCTGCATCCATGATTTTCTGAGTTCACCTTTCCTTGCTCAGTCATCTTTGGCATGCACATCAGTAAAGAAGAGCAGTTTCTTTTGCAAAGGCCTTTAAATATACATATTCTGCCATTAAGCTGACATTTTCAGCTATTATCACATGCTAGGGCTATAGTTCTGACTTGTCTTGTAAGATCCTGAGACAGTTTTGTCTAGCTAGAGTAAATTCATTCATTGTTTTACTTACTTGCTCCAGATAAGCTTGCAGAGAGGAGGCGTTTCACAATGAGGCTTTGGTGGAGGTGTGGTTACAACTGGTGTTACTGGTACTCCATGACATGATGAGTCGTTTCCAACAAGCCAGTGATGAGCCATTTGGGGACAGGAAGAAATTATCTTGCCACTTGGTAAGCGGCATTCATCTGTTTTATTATTTGTACATGTTCCTGGAAGAGACAAGCTATGTAAGTCTCATAAGTCACATCAGAGATACACAATACATCATTGTGCTGATATTACATTTAGAAGTGATTGTGTTCATGAAATGTATAAGGTGCCTTGCTTCATAGGGAGTGCTTTCTTTACAGTTATATGAACTTTAATTTAGGTTAGGGAAAAACAAACAAACCTAAAACTGCAGGCCTAAAGAAAAAAAAAACCCAAACAGGTTCCTGAAATACTTCAGCTTTTGATCCTACAGAAGTTGAAGGGCAGAACTGTTTTCATTTTCATTTTACTGCTGCTTAAAAATTTCTGTCAGTCATGAGACTGCATAGCCAGAGTGTGTGGGAATAACCATGGTAGGGTGGGGAAAAAATCCCATCTCCAATTAGTGCATCTGTCTTACCACACTGTCCTTCAGTGTTGTTGCCAAATTTGCTGTATGGGAGTTTCACAGAGAAAATCAGTCCACTAAAGGTGATGGTTACACCAATTTCTGGTATTTCAACAATCATATTGATGCCAAGTGTGGAGAAATAAATGCCATCTTTTTTGAAGCCTGGTTGGACAATCGTTTTGTTGAAGTACATCTGAATGCAGGGTTAAAACAGAAAAAAACCACAACTTCAGAATAGGCACTGCTTCTGCCTGCTTGTTTTAAATAATGTATTTTCTAATCTTCATAATCATGCATAACTCCGTACTGTTGTGCATCACATCCAATGCCCATTGGTATCACAGTAACTGCACATATATGCATTAATATCTTGGCCTGTATCACACGTTGCTACAGTGTGATAATAATCTAAGTAGCCTCTATGTACTGTGTGCAGATTGTGTGCTAATGCACAGCATTCTACATTTTCTTTGTATCCCTCATCAGTTTGTTTATTGTAAACATTTCTCATGTGAAAATGAGTGGTAGTTTAACTACAGAAATATTCCTGCCATTACCATGTAATAACTTTGCTGCAGACTCATGCTGTCCCTATACTACGTGTTGCTTGGCATTGGAAGAGTTGTCTGAATTCAAATTAAGTCAAATGTCCCTGGTGCCAGTTTTATGTAGTGATCGTATTTGTTTGTTAATCTAAGCTGTTCAATTTGCAGCCTGTATCTCATATGAGCTGATGAAGGTAGACATGTTTGCATAATAACTTTTTGTCAGGAATTATTCTGCAACTTTCTTCTCATTGAATGGAGATAAAGTAAGAGTCAAAACTGTCAGTTACTGTCTTCTTTCACAGCGAATCACTGGACTAGTTGTGTCAACATTTTTTTCTGACTGTAGGTGATGAGAACTTGGCATGGCTCTCTAGGGGGAGAGTGCATACTGAGACAAACTTTTCCTCCTATCTCTTTGTGTTCTCTAATCAATTCCCCAGTGTAACTGTGGGACTGACTTTTTGTTTTCACTGGCTTGCCAGCACTAGTTTAGGATCATTAAGGTGAAGTGACACCCCAGTCACCCCTTTTCTTCATCTATACCTGTGTTCCCAGCAGGGAATTGGAAGGGGAATCATGTCACGGCTCTGGGGCCTGAAGTTACCTATGCAGAGGAAGCAGTCCCTAGTCATCCAGCTGATAAGGGATACATACCCATCTTCACAATGAGAGCAGAATCATGCTTGTGATTTACATGTGTGTTTCTTCATAATGTGTTTGTTTACATAGGTGCGTGGCACAATGTACTTGTCATGAAACATGAATCAAGCACCAGTGTAAGCATTCTTTCTGTCTTCTCTCTCTACAGCTGTATTGTCTGTTTCCTGGTGTTATCTATATGTAGACATACCTGCACATAATCTATTACATTTGGATTGTGCTAAGCTGTTTCTGACATTTTCTTCTTAGAAACTGGTGTAATCTTTTTTTTTTCCCCTAAAGATACCCTCTGCCCACATCACCTCTGTGATATGGTATTCTGACAGACTGTATTTCAAATGAGAATCAGTAAGGCCTGTAGACCTTATTTCTTTTTTGCAAAAAGAGAGAAATAGAAAATGTGTATTTTACCACATTGGTCATCACGCCATTCATGAGTTCACGAGTCAGCACCACTTCTGCAGATTTGTATAAAATAATGATGGATTTGGGGCAGGAAAGTCCATCTTTTGCATTGCAGTAATAATTATCAATGTAAACACGGAAGTTGTCATATTTAGGTACAATCTGTTTCACCAGGACGTAAGTGCAGTTTTCAAGGAAAGTATAGTAGGTTCCATCAAAAGTAATATAATGAGGATCACCCCATCCACTGCACACACCTGGCAGAGAGAAAATATTTAGAATATTAACATGAAAATTAATGTAGAAAAAAGACTTTAGAAACGGAATAATTTATAGAGCAACCCTAAGAAAACAAAATGCCCATATAATCTGTGCAGTTTTGCTTTTTACAGAAAAGGTTGTTCCTCAATCTACAGATGCTTACATTGACACTCATATTTGTAACAGCAGCCGTTTTCATCAGGTACCAGTATTGGTGGATATTTGTTCGCACAGGTAATTTCCTTTACAGGTGGGCAGTGCGTTGGAATTACGTCTACCTTGTTGTCTCCCTTACAGATGATTTCGGTACAGTTGGATAATTTGTATCTTTGTCCAGGCTGCAAAATGAATGAAATTTGCTGTCACAAGAGTTTGCAAACAGATATGAACTTTACTCATATTTTGAGTTTAATGGTATGTAGTTTGAAGTAATGGTATTGTTGGAAAGGAAATTACGTCTCTTCAATTTGTGGTACTAATGATTTGTAATGTTGACCAGAGCTATTCATAATACTGACCATGATATAGAGGATCAGACAGTTTTGGTTTTTGCAAATCTGAAGCAAAGACTAAAATGAAAATATTCACTGATAGTACAAGGTTGTCAATATTCTAATAAATGTTTTGGGTTTTTTATGCTAAAAGGAGGTGGGGAACCTTAATTCCAGCTATTCCTTCTTCATGAGAAGCTCTTCTGAGGCTTGGGGGGATTGGCCTTAGGTTAAGGGAGCTGATGTCCTTTATACTAGCTATGTATACTAGAATTCGCTATCAGCAGAAAACATTGCTATCAAAAAAAAAAATAAAGAATGTGTACAGAAATACAGGTAAGAGGGAGAGAGAACAGAACAGATACAAGTCTCCACAGTAGCTTAATTTTTTCTGTTTAGTGAAGAAAAAAATCCACAACAAAACTTACTCTATTATTTCAGTAAGAAGGTTTCTCATTTATGCAATGCAGTGCATCAGAAAGTTTTTTACTAGCAGTTAAGTCATTTATGTAGCTTGCTTTTTCAGTGTGAAGAAAATTATAAAGAAGGCACATACAGATTTTCTGTCATGTATAGTGCCCATCAATAACAATGCTTGTTCTGGCAAGCTGCACGTACAAAGTTTAAAAACTGCAAGCTGTTCCTTTATGGTATGAGCCTGAAATTGATAATATTTCAACAATTATAACATAACAGAGAAACTACATACCTGTAGGGGAGGGTAACTACTAGAAACACAACCAGGAATTAGTCCAGATGTGGTAGGAGGAGGAACTGTGGTTGTTACAGTAGACCATTCAGGGGAAGTAGTGGTTAGAGTAGTAGAAAAGTTACAGTATGGAGTATGTCGTTCAACGGTACATGTTGGACCACAGACAGCATAAAATATACATCCATCACTATCCGTTCTGTTATAAATCAAATCACCTGAAAGAAGAAAAAAAAAAATACACTTAAGATACAAAGGAAAAAACAAAAAAGGTTAAAAAATACAAAAATTAAGGCAATAAAACCAACTTGTAATGATATTGACATGAGAATTAAGAAAACTGTAATAAAAAACTAAAAGAATAATTAAGTACGACATACATACATAGATAAAAATAGGTGAACTAACCAGGTGAAAAAATAGCGTCCCCAATTTTACAGAAACACGTTGTTGATACAGGGGTAGAAGAAGTGTTGGTACAGCAAAATTCAGTTGTGGCAGTAATGGTGGTAAGGCTGGTGTAGGTCTGTGATGTGGTTTCTGAGGAGGTGGGAAATGTAGTGGAGGAGTAGGATGTAGAGGTGGAGGTTGGTGTGGTGGTGGTTGGTCTGGTGGTGGTGGTGGTTGTGGGGCTGGTGGTGGTCACGGAGGTGCTGGTTAGGCAATTGTAGTTGGGCCTGCAGCAGAAGACGCGGATCCTGTAGTTGAGGCACATCCTAAATTGGCCGGTCTGGTCTTCGTTCTTGCAGACCAGTCCGAAGTGGACGTCGCACTGCACGACCTGTCCGACGTTTTCGATGGGAAGTTCGGGGTAGTCCTCCGCCTGGCACTCGATTTCCTTTGGATGGTGACAGACTTCCTTCCCGGCGGCCCGGATGTGCTGGTAGGTTTCGAAGTCTCCCTGGCTGGGCCCAGAGGCGGGGAAGTCGACGTCGAACCACTCGCTCCAGGAGCACACTTCGACTGGACAGCTGGTAGTGGACGGGGTGGTGGTGGGGGTGACGCTGGTGGAGGATGGGCTAGGTGTCGGGGCGGGAGTGGTGGTGTAGGTCTGCGATGTGGTTTCTGAGGAGGTGGGCAGCGTGGTGGAGGTGGAGGTCGTGACTGTGGTGGAGGTTGGTGTGGTGGTGGTTGGTCTGGTGGTGGTGGTGGTTGTGGGGCTGGTGGTGGTCACGGAGGTGCTGGTTAGGCAATTGTAGTTGGGCCTGCAGCAGAAGAC